TCCGACCACAAACTCTAGTACCTCAATGAGCATCAACTAAGTAGTAGAGACCGTAGCACACAAAATTAGTTAAACACACAATACTTAGCATTACTTGAACATAAGAAGTCCCTTTATCACAAATGTTCCAGAGGCCACGATCACTCAATAGTGATCAGCTTCTTGATATACATTGAATTAATAATTATTCAGACATCAATGCAGAAAATATCATAAAAATTCGACAAGTTCCCTATCAAAATCCCCGAATCTTTTATTTAAGTGCTTCATTTTGTTTTTAAATTTCTTTTCTTACATTTCCCACAAAATTTAAAAAAAAAATAAATAAAAGAGGAAAAATAAACTATAAGTATTCATATCAAAATCTTGCACTTACCATTTCATCCTTCTATTCAACAAGAACATAAAATGAACTACCAGATAAAATTTAACAAAACCCAGAAAAGATAAATAACAAAACAAACCTAAATCAAGAAAAGACTTTTTCCTGAAATTAGAATGAGGAAATCCAGAAAATTCCCCTTTCCTCTTTTCTAAACATGCAATGAAACAGAAGGAGAGTGATGGGTAGTTGAGAATGTGAATAGTTTGACTCGAAATGATTGACTGAGCCATAATTATACCTTTTTCAGTTTGCTCATTGGTCTAAGGCATCAACTGGACAAATAATGAGGTTTGCACCGATGAGAAAAGTATGTGCTGAATTAAGCAATTCAGTTTCAATTTCAATTGGTTCTCAAATAAAGCAAGAAAAATCGATTCTATTTTAAGTCTCAAATCTCTCTCCCACTCTTCAAATATCATCAATACGTGGATAATATCAGCAGTAAACTGTTTCAAATCACTGCAACAACATCCCTACTGCCATAACCCTGACTTCTACACCAGAATATCCATCCTCCGCAGCTCACGTGTCAACACCTCATTCAGTTCCGCAAAGAACACTCCATCAGCTACAAACTTCTCTTCTTGCTCATCTGAGAAGCCATTTTTGATTGGTAATAGCAAAAACAGAGATTTTGGGCAAAATACCCGCCCCTTTGAAGACATTTTGTAAACATAAAACCACTAAACGATTACATATTAGAGACTGTATGTAGTTTTCAGTTTGCTGTTTTTGTTTTTTTTTTATTTGTCGTTATTGGCTAACTCCCTGCATCTCCATTAGCATTTCAAATTCAGGCAGACCTTTAGTAATTCATAGTAATCAAGCACATTTCAAAACTAATATCTCCAATTTCTTAATGAAATTGAAACTCAATTACAAGTTCTGAATGTGCAATAATTGGTACTGAAATGGAAAGGGAAAGTAGCTGATTACCAGAAAAGACCGAAAATTTGTGTGGATTTGAACGGCGATCGCCGGACCACCATGAAATCCTTAGGTGAAGCTTTGGCCAAAGTTGCCACTGCCGCCGCCATCTCACCGTCATACAAATAAGAAGAAGATTCAAATTCCTCCATCTCCGGTGAATTGCCCCTTCCTTTAACACCTTTCCATACTCCCCTCCATAAATCCTTCAATGTGTGTGTTTACGCGTGTTAATCTGCAAATGAATGGGTGAAGAATTTAGAGCAGCCCACTTTCAAAAAGAAAAAACAATGAAGAGACAAACCAGGCAGAGGCGCTGTCGGCGTCGGCCGGTCTGGTGGAGCCCATCACGCGGAAGAGAGCCTAGTTGCTGGGATCGCTTCTAGGGTTGCAGAGTATCGATTGGGAATCGATTCTAGGGTTTCCAAAATTTCTCTCTCTTCGCTCTATTTTCTTCCTTTTATACGCGTGTATTTCAGCCCTAATTCCGTTAGAGTTTCCGTTAAACCAACAAAATCCGTTACATTTTCCGTTAAAACCAACAATTTCCGTTAGATAGCCACTTTATATATAGAAGAGATGTCGATGCAGAAAAAGACGAATGATTTTTAATACTGTATTTAATAAATGCGAATAAAGTCTTGCATCGATTAGACATGAAATAGATGATGAGCTTGTAAATGATTGTATCAATCGAAGTTAACATTTTGCAATGGGAGTTTGGTTCCGTACAAGATGTATCATAGGTAGGTCCCGAACTTAGCTGTTTGCACACACACGATGGATTTCAGTTGCGGCCAACAAAGGTGGTGGGCTCTATAAGTTGGATCCCGATGATCAAAAAAATTCACAGTTGACTCTTAAAATGGTTGTATCCATGGGAAGCTGTAACACCTAACGCACTGGAAGAGTTAGACATTGTTACAGATCATGTAATTGTTCATGCTTTTAAGAGAAATAGATAAAATGTTCCTTGAAGGAGGAGCAAGATACTTTGTTAGAAGGAGAATTGTTGAAAATGTGTCAACTCTTACATAAGTTAGACATGAA